AACATAATAATTGTTAATCGATCATTCATAGAAATTTAATCGATTAAAAATCAATTAAAGTTAGTCCAATTTTGATCGATGGCAATATTCTGCGATTGACAAATTGATTGAAACAATCAATCATCGATCTTACTCGATTCGATTAAAAGCCCTAATTCAGAACTGCTTTTTTCAATTCCATCCAGAGATTATTCATATTTGCATAATTGGATGGGAGATCTTTTAAGCGATCAAAATTGTGATTATTGTAATAAGTATTGGAATAATCAGCAAAAATAGTCTATTTTGAAGAGTTCATAGATTTGTGAAGAGGGACTTTTCTTTTAGTATCATTAATTCTTGAACGAAATTGAAATTCATGTTGAATATTAGAAAAATAGGCAATGATAATCTCGTGATCTGATTTGTATAGGTACGAATGAATTATGTTATAATAAAGGAAATCAGAAACAAGATTTTGAGAAGCAAAAATAGCATCAATATGACTGGAAGTATTTGATCTTATGAATGTGGATGAAGGTGTATCATGACAAATGTTATATAAGTCTAAGAAGTTCCTAAGAGCGAGACCATATACAAGATTATATTTCCACAGAATGGTTTTACCAGAATCAATGAGGCGTTGTAATTTGATTAGATCTGCATTAAAATCACCCATGATGATAATGTGAAAATCAGATTGAAGACTGTTATCGATAAGTCGTAGTAATGTTGTTTAGAGGACTTTCCTTTCTTTAGATTCAGTGACATGAATATAAACCGAGAAAACTCTTAGTTTTATATTTCTTTTTAAGTAGAGATAAACATAAATATAACAATCATTATCCAAGAATTTTTTGGCAATATGCTTTGACCAAGATTTGCTGATAAGTAAAGCAACACCCAAGAACTTATTAGAGACAGAACTCCACAAAGTATCGAAAAAAGGATTAGAAGAATATCTAAAAGATTGTGAAGATTGATGCCAAGTTTCCGATAATGTAACAAAATTAACGTTCTTTTGGTGAAAAGTATCTAGTATCTTGCTATTTTTAACATCGTCTCGAAGAGAATATACATTATGAGTAGTAAAGGTAAGGGTGTTTTTATTTAAAATTAAATCTCTATCATCACTATGTGAATTTTCTAAGTCATTATCTATTATGAGAGTAAGTTGATCACGTGATGATAGTAAACTTTGAGATAGAAGAGCATTAATATTTGTTGGTGAAAGACGGTTTTCATTATTGATAGTATAAATGGGAAGAATATTAGGTAACAAAATATTGTTTGTTGTATTAATCATTTAAAGAATGTAAAAAAAAAGGGTGTATCTAATTTTGAGACTGGCTGACATTCATTGCGAAATGTTCAATCTGTTTGAACATTCTGTTCATCTGTCTTTTTGTTCAGCAATAATAGCAGCTTGTTCATTCACCATATTAATAAGGTTAGGCTTTGGGGTCAAAATTAGTGAGGGTGAAGAGTCATCACTTGAGGATCCAGCAATGCGAGATCTTTGTTAGATGTATCTTGTGATTTAGGAGAAGGTTAAGGAACGTGGGAAACAATTAATAGATCTTTTCCTTTACTAACAATAGGTGTGGGAATTACTGTAGTCGTAATTGTAGAAAAAGCCTGAAGAGATTCAAGTTTAGCGATTCTAACGTCCAGTTTAGTCATATCCTTTTTCATATTAAAGAGAATTGAGAGGATCTGATCCAATTTATTATTGATTTCATTATTTGGATTGTGAATAGAATCCTTCACAGTTGATGTGATAACTTCTTTTGGTGGTGGAGGTGAAGGTGGAGGAGTATCCTTATTTTTGGTGGCCTCAGAATAGGATTTGAAAGAACGGTTGGATCAATTGGAATCAACAAATTTTCTAAAGCCAGCAGGTTTATATTTATTATAAAGTCTTTGCATTGAATTGTTTTGAGTAGGTGTTTTCAGTTTAATAGATTCTTCATTGTCATTAAGTGTAACTGATTTTTGTAAAAATGGGCATTTCATAACCAGATGAGCTGGATCATCACATTTGTGACAGCTTCTAGAATCAGGGAAACACCACATCAGTTGATTGTTACCAAAAGCAAAGTTTTGTTGAGTTGCATGATTGAGAGCTTCCTCATTTTCAAAATGTAAAATAACAAAAGGACGAGGCTTATAATTGTTGAATCTAGGAATATAGCTAGCTCTAGCTTTAGTAGCAAGAATTATGTCATGAAGATCTCTTGCAGAGGTACCAAAAGGAAGATTCGTCAATTTGATATGATGTGTATTCCTATATTTAATTTCTTCTGGAGACAAAATGCAAGGATTGACATGGACAGAATCATTCTGGACAAAACGACTCCACACTTGATAAAATAGATCAATACATTTAGGGTTTTCATAGGTAATGTAGGCATGTTGCCACATACCTTTTACTGTCATTTTAAAGTCGGTAACAGTTTCATATTTAGCGAAAACTTGTTTAATATTGGCAGGCTTCATTTGTAGAGGAATATTGGTGACATGAATAGTTCTTTCATTAAATTGCATATCAGTTTTGTATTAGGAGAAGTCACAGAATGTGTCGATCTTGAGATCAGGAATAGTCACGTATAAGGCTGCGGTAGCCGCGTCTGATGTCACAAAATAAACAATTACAGAATGCGTCAAATTTACGCGATGAACTGAAACTCCTTGAAAATCATCGTTTTGAGAAAGACATTATTGATAGTGAGAATAATTTTGCTGTTGTTCTTTTCTTTGGATGTAAACTTGATATGACTAGCAACTGCAAAGGAGGTAGCTTTTGTAACAACTGTGAAATCTTTTAGATCTTCTTCCATATCATCATCTTCGAGATATTTGTCAGGATCTAAAAGTTTTGACCTATCTTTAGTTAAAGAAGAGCTCTCAGGAATATCATTAACTTTCGTATTATTATTATTATTGTTGTTTGAAGGTGGACTAACTGGTTGAAAATTATTAGGGGTGGCAATATTGGATATGTCAAAAACTTTAAACTCCATTGTTTTTTCTGATAAAGAACCAAAAACTTCTTGAACAATTTCTAAATCAAGGTTGGTGGGAACAGAAGTTGAGGTTAAAGAAGACGAAGGAGCTGGTGCAGAACTAACAGCTTCCTTTGGAGCTTTTGGAGTAACGTATGGAACGAACTTGGAGTCACTATATTTTTGTTTCACAGCATTTTTACGCATCATAACTCTTTTGCATAGCGAAGAAGGTGGGATAAAACAAAAGAAACCTTCTTTATACTGGATTTATTAATTAATTTTTTGTTAAAAACGAACTTTTAGATTTTTTATTTTTCTTATGAAAATTTGGTTTTGTAAAATAGGGAAGAGAGTTTTTTTTTCTTTTATAATTATTTTAAATTTGAACTATTTTATATATAACGATCTTTTTAATTAAATAACTGAGACCTATATAATCATTTTCTCAAGTTATTTAAAATAACTCAAAAATTCTATCTTCTAATAATTAAAATCAAAAATAATAGTAAGTTTTTCTAAATACTTTGATACTTTTAAATTTATTAAGAAAAACTAGATATTATTGATAACAAACTCATTCTTATCAATGATAAAATCATTTCATTTAAGAATTTCATTATCAAATATAAACAAATCAAAAAGATATTGATTTTTACTTAAATTATTTAGAATTCATATATTATATTAAATATGATTCTAAATAGATAAATAATTTCAAATATAAAATTCTTCTTCTTAATAGTAAAGAAGAAATGAAATTACTTCTATAGTACCTTTAGTGTAACTGAATATTAATAATGCTTTTTCATCCAACTATATTCTAACAATTATCATTTTAAATATTCAAAACAAGTCAAATACTGATTAATTGGGTATCTTCCCGATTGGTCATTATTTTTTGATTAGCAATTAAAATAGAATTAATAAATAGAAATCAGTAGATATTACAATTGTGTATAAATCAATTAATACCATAATTATAATTATTAGATAAAATTACATAAATCTGTTTCTAACCCAATTTTATACTTATTTTAAAAAATTTATAATTACAGTCAAACCTTAATATAGCGAACTCTTGATATAGCGAATTTTTAAATCAAATATATTAAAATTACCTTATTATAGTGAACTAGCCAATTAAATTCTTTAAAAAATTCGTTATAAGCTTATAACAAAGTTGATATCCAGATCCTAGAATTCATTATATCAAGAGTTCACTGTATATGGAAGGCGATTAGTAAAAAAGGGGAAATCCAAAATTTTTGTTAATTTTTATTATTAAGCCAAATTTGTGCACATGATTGAGATTAGTCAAGTGGTCTAATAATATAAATTTTGACCAAAATTTAGATTTTCCCCTTTTCTACTGACCGCCTCCTGCTCGAAGTGCCAGATAAATCAATTTTATTAAGCAATTCTAATATAAATTATTAAAAAAAAAAAAAATTTAATAATTTATTATAATCAAGATCTTGCAACCTTTTTTATTATTAAATTTAAACATCATTATCACAAATTAAAAATTTAACTATAACTCATAATCTTATTTTTTTTATGATTATATTGAATATCTTTAATACATTTTGATTATTTTAAAATCTTTTATATTATCTGAATTAAATATTATTTCTTAATCTATTGGATTATTTGATAATTCTAAAAATAGATTCCTTTATCATATAAATGAACTATTAAATGATATATTCTAGATATTATATTATTTATCAAAACTAAAGAACCTGTTAAAAGTGCAAAAAAAGGAATAATATCATGTGTAATAATAAATTTTTTGTAAAGAATCTAAGGTAAAAAAATATAAATTAGAATTTAAATTATATTAATAATTTTGTAAAAATTTCTAACCTGTATTATAAATTGAGGAATATCTTCAATTAAAAATCCTAATAAACCTCCCCAAAAAATATAAGATTGTGTTTTTTTTGTAGTAGGAGCACTAAATGCCAATATTCCAGCAACTTCGGAAGAAAGTACACTTAATACTTCAAGATCAGCGCCTGCTAATATTGTGAAGAAAGCTGCTAAATTGGTATTGTTATTAAACCAATGATAGAAATCTTTATTTTGTTTAATTTCTTGAAGTATTATGATCATGCTCATTATGGAATTTATTGCCGTTGGTATTGCAAAAAACATTATACTATAATACAAAGTATTTAAATCAGAAATATAAAGAAAAAAATGTGCATGATTACATATATATATATATATATATACCTTGGAATAAATAATTGTGGAGCTTTTTTTCCATTATTCGAAATAAATAAAATATCCAAAATAAAATCCAAAATAATCAGAGTAAATTTAAATATTACAATATTGTTACCCTAAAATTTATAATTTTCAATACCTAGAATAAGTTCAACGGAAAAAAATAAATTTTAAACTTTACCATAGAATGTTTTTTCCTTGCATAAAAATAAAGTAAGCCTAAAATGATTACTCCAATAACAAAACCAACTAAAGGAAATTTAGCATCATCAATGAAAATTTCTAAATAATAAAATAAAATAATAGTTTATAAATAAATTTAATTATACTATACTATAATTTAAATTGCTTACTAGTTTGTTGAAACCCAAATTTCGAATCTATAAAATTTGTCGTGCCAAACCAGGATATAGGAGTAATTTCTTTATACTTAATCAAAAGATCTAAATCTTTCAAGATACGTTCGACATTTCTCTCATTTGGATTTGCTGTTGATTTGATAGGCAATGTTAAAAGGATTTTTGGAGACTGTTGACTTTCATCATATTCATATTTAATAGCATTTAATCTATTAATATTAACAGGTATTGAATTTGCTAAATCTATTCTTAATTGGGATAAAAATATTGTTTGATTATATGATGAAAGGCTTTTGAAATATTTTGTTCCTTCAATTGTTAAAGAAAATCGTCCAGTTGCATCCTCTGAAAATTTAAATAAAATTAATACTGAACACATTTAAAAATATTACATATTATAATAAATTATAATTACCCGCAAAAATATCCTGATTATCGGCTAAAAAAAAATGGTTAATTTATAAAACTTAATAATCACATTTGTAATTTAAATATTTACTTACTAGTATTAAACGTCCAAATATTACTTCCAATACCTATTAAAGGTTGCTTTGTTTCCCAATCTTTAACAACATTATCGTTAATTACAATGTAATACTTTGCATTTGGTTGATTAAATGTACTTTCCAAAACATCTAAAATTATTGTTTTATTATCGGCGCTATATATAAACGGAGAATTGCCTGGAACTGATTGTCGTAATATAAAATTATTATTATTATTCTGATAAATAGAGATATTGTTTGTTGATATTATTATTGGAAAGTTATACGTGATATTAATAATAATTGATGATAAAGGTATCTTAAAATTAATTAATGGATAAGTAGTTTTAATATTTGGATTTTTATAACCATTATCTACAAATATAAAAAATCGAGATAAAATAAGTTGATAAATAAATAAATAATTTAGTTGTACATAATAGTAATTTACCATTAATAACGAACTTCGGCGAATCTATTGAATAAATCTTCCAAGTATGTTTATCTACTTGAGGAACAACAAAATAAGTGCCGTTTTGAAACCCCCCTGAAGCAGAAACTATTAAATTTTCTGGAAAGTCCAATGTCCCATTATAGTTTCCATAATTATCAAGAATTATGGATTGAATAATTGTTTTGTAAATAGAACCTTCCGATCTGTTGAAAATAATAATGATAAAGCCACCATTATATAAATTATCAAATATCGGGTATTCTGATAATCCTTTGTATAATTCAAGATCCGGAAAATTTTCAATATCAATAATAGAACTATATTGTAAATAAATATGCCAAAGCATTAAATCATTATTTAATTAAGGTTATTTCATAAAATTGATAAAAAACTACAAACCCAGTATTTTGGAATGATATTTTAATCAAATAATTTTTAAGTTCATCTTTTATATTTAAAATGCAAAAATAACCCTTAGTTGCATAAGCAGAATTACATATAGGTTGAACTTGTAAATTTGGTAATGTGGTTTGATATAGTAAATATGGACCATCAATATTGTTATTTGGTCCTACGAAGGTTATATAAAGCTCGAATGTTGGTTTGGTTGGATCAATTAGATCATGAGGCTCGTTATTTTTTTCGGTGTTAACAGGTTTATTTGGAATGTTTTTATGGACTATTCCAAAGTTACCATCGATTGCGGGAAAAATATCTGATAATTCTTGATCAATATGACCATTATTTATTGGTTGGACATTTCCATCCGAGTCACTAAAAAAAAGTAATGTTTAATTTGATCCTTTTAGCATCATAAATAAATGTTATGAATAAGAGGTGATTTGAAAAATCTGCAACTGTTTGATCCTGGTAGTTGCAGATCCCATCTTTAGTCATGAACTTACGGTTTACTAAAATAAATCCATTTCACAGTAGGTAAATAATCAAAGAAAAGAAAGCCGTTATTTTCGTTAAGGTGTGGAAAGATATATCCAGAACTGTTTAATGCTCCATTGATAACAGAAACGCGTGAAAGAAATGAATTACTTATAATGGAGGAAATAAATAATATAAACGTTAATTCACAACAATTACGGTACACCACTAAGGAAAAAAGTAAATATACAAACCTAATGATTTTTCCAGTGCGTGTGATTAGTAATACATAATAACTTGCAGAACTTATATCGGTAGAGTTCTCGTATAGAACATAGATATAATCGGGCATATAGGGAAAAAGTGCAATATGTAAAGAAGAATCATCTGGTATTATACAAAAATTAAAGTCTGGGATTGGATAATTAACTTCGATAACATCAACTGTGCCGTTTGGATGTATGACGCGAAGATCGATTCTCGGTTCGTTGCAGGTTTTATTAATTGGTTTTGTCAGGTAAACCACCGAAGTTCCTTCCCGATACGTTAATATCTGATTAATTTGATATCCTGGCTCAGTTTCGTTATACGAAAATGTTTTATAAGAATGAATGATTAATGGATTTATAAATAATAAAAAAATTGAAATCACTTTCAAATAAAAAGAATTCATTTTATTTTTTTTAAGGAGGAACACAGCTCTTGTGGATTCTTATATACCAATTTCAAAAGTGCAGATCAAATCCATATCTATAAATAGAACGAACAATATAATATCAGACTATAATGGGAAACATAGATCTTCCGTATTGTTTAATATTTACCTTTTCTGATTGGTTACTGCGGTTGTTACATTTATTTACCAAAAGAAGAAAAAAATGCTAATAGTTTATATTATTTAGGAAATCTAAATTTATCCAATTGATGAGCAAGATAGGTAATTTTCAAAAATAAACAAATCATTATAATACATAAAACTTTACAATTTTCAGGAGGAGGTACAAAACCACCAGAAATTGTCAATAATGAATCTACGGATAATATAATTGAACCCCATTTGCTAACCCAATAACTTTGTAATCTTGCATAAGGATAAGTATTATTGGTTAAATTCAAGGTGGGTTTTGTTTGAGATGAATAGATTTTTGATGGATGTACTTCAGTATTTACTAAATAATAATAAAACGAACCAAAGTATAATAGTAATTCAAGCGGATGATGTATTTCAGGATAATCCCATAATTTGAATCCATATTTTGGCGCATTATCATCAATTGTCAATAATAATAAATCTATTTTTGTTTTTAAAAATTATTATCAATAATTATTTTTTCTGAAAAAAAAAAATTTCATTTTTAATTAATTACCTTCATTATGAACCAACAAATCTTCAAACCAATGAGAAAGCACAGCCAATCCTACCAAGAACGCAGCACGATTTCCACCATCATAACCAGAAAATCTATACCATAATCCATATAATATACTCCATCCAATTACGGCGATTAAAGAGTGAGTGTATGGAATAGAAACCAATTTTAAATCATTCACTTTTGTAAATCCACGAACAATGTGGGCTAAAGATTTTTAGAATATTAGATCAATATTTGATGATAAAAAATCATATATAAAAAAAAACATTTTTTAATTACCTTCTTCTATTTCAATTAAAATAAAAAGAGAAAATAAAAAATCAACGAACTAAATTTATTTAAATTTAACGTTATATATATAAATTAAAGGTAACCCTTCCTTTTTTTTAAAAAAAATAATTAACCTGAACTGCAATCATCAAGACCCATAATGGGATCTTGGGTTCTGAAACTTTAATAATCCAAGCACAACTGTAATGACCATAAAACATCTTAATAAAAGAATTGTATCCCTCTTTGTGGCTTGGGTATATGTACTAAAACAGAATTGATCTGCAATAATATTAGTATTGTTCTGAGATGGTAAAATAACAATTATTATGATTGGTTAATTAACCGGTTAATTATAGCATAATAGATTTGGGTCCAGTACTAGGGACTAAAGAATTTATATATTGGAGATTTATTCGTTACACAACAATTAGATTTTAAAAACCGCAGTAATCGTACAAAAATCGCTAATACATATAATAATAATTATTTTCATTCGAATAATTTCCCAAATAATATGTTTGCTTTCAAGATCCTTATCTTTATTAACATCACTTTCATTAAAATTTTGATTATAAAGAGAAGTTGTTTCATTTAAAGCTTGCTGACGCTTTTTAGCTCTAAATTCCACTAAATCTAAAGAACAACATTTAATTTCATTAAGTTTTGATTGTTGAAGGCTGCTTGTCATATTTTGGTGTGTTTTGAGATCCATTTGTTAAAAAGACCTTCTACTTGTTGTTGGTGAATAACATTGTACCAAATACGATATTTGACAAATTCATATATATCATTAATAAATTGTAAGAATTCTGTTTTAAAATCAAGATCTTTGAGTGCTTCTGACAAACCAAAATCATTAATTCCTTCAGTATTAATATCTGCTTCAATAAATTTAGTATAGCATATTCTCGAAGTGAAGGTGGAGTTAACCAAGGTATGTTTAAAGTAATATAAATAAAGCAGCGAGCAAATTCTCGTCCATGTTTTCCATCTAATCGACACACACTTAATGGTAAGTGCAACCAGCAATCCAACCATTTTTGGTGAAGTTCCAATGTCTTTTTTTGTACAACTAATTCAATTTTTGTTATAAGTTCATTAAATTGATCATAATTTAATAAATTAGTACCTTCTAAAAGCTCATTTTCAAAAAAAATAAGAAGGATTTTCAACAATATTTTTGTAATTTATTTATAAACGAAATAGCTAATATGTAGATAATTATAGATAACTTAGTTTATTTAACTTTTTTTTTGCACATAGTAAACATCATCATTTGTAACTATATGACATATACTTATAAGGCTTTAAATAAAAAAAAATCGAAGAAATATTTGAAACATATCATAATTTTTTAAATAGCTTAATAATATTAATTTTTACATTTACATAAAAAAACTTAAAATTTACATAATATTCCTTAATTGTTGCATATAAATAAAATAGCTTAACGATAATCTTATTTGCTTGAGTTATTAAATATATTTGGATAAGATTTCGACATCAAAAGGTCGATGTCATTTAAAGTACGATTATCCTCGGTGTTAAAATCAAATGTATCGAAATTAGTTAAAAATTTATCCATAATTTTTTCAGATTTTAATTGCGTAGATGTCAAATCCTTATTCATGGATGATATGCCCGTCCACTTTAGATCAAGCGTATGTTCTTCATTCGTTATCGTTGGGCAAAGCACCATTTGTGGAATAATAGCCGAGAATTTCCAAGGTTCATTTTCAACAGACGAAGAGCCCCCCTCATTGGTAGAATAATTCTCGCTTTTCATAATATCATTTTTTATTAAAATACCGATTTTTGACAACATAGTAAAAGAATTTTTCGTTTCAATGGATTCGATTTTCCACTTTTCAGACGCGAAATGGGAAACTTCTTCATAATTAGCTTTCGGATGATCTCTTTTGATCAACCGTAGCTTGTCTTTGCGATAAAGAAAGAATTCGTTTAATGGAGTTTTACACGGTTTTAATAATTCTTCCAAAGGTAGTTCGTTAGGAAATTTCATATCCTGTTGACGCAGCATCAATACGTATTTATTAATAACTTCGTTTACTTTCTTTGGATCATATTCAATAGATCGGTTATTCTTTGAAGATTTAGGCATTTTGTAGATAATAAGCGAATCGAAAAAGAAGGTTAATAGTTAAAAGTCAATGCAACTTAAATTCCAACCTTTCATCAAAATGTCTTCAATTTATACTTTTTAATTATTAGAATATTTATCACGAAAAAGAAGATCAGTAAACATGTGCAATAAAAATTTTCCTTTATTCTGCACGAAAAAGGAAAAAAGAGAACAATTACGCTAATTTAACGCGAGCGTACAATCATTTTCTTCTTATCCTTTTTTTTGCCAGCAATAATAGCAGATTAAGAATGAATTGTTTAAAGTTTCTTTGAAAGGATGCACTTATAATTTGATTATTTTTACACTTCACGGAAATGTTCATATTAAACTTAAGTGCACTTTGGATTTGGATAAATAAGTCTCAGAAGGAAGAAGGTTTACTTAAAAGATTATGATTAATTTGGACACAATAATTAAAAAAAATGTATTTAATCTATAGGAGTTATTGATGTTACATTATTAAAATACCACATACTGTAAGGAAGTAATGGAAAAGGTATGAATTGTTGAAATAATGTTTCTCGTGGAAAAAAATTACTAAGCGTTATCAAATCAAGCTATAATTATAGAAGTAAAATTCCTTATTAAATATTGTACCACATAAGTAAAGTAATCCATGAGAAAGCATATCGTATGAAAATCATTGTGTCGCGCGAAAATTTCTAACCGGATATTAGACTTTAATTAATCAGGTTATAAATGGATTCAATACTAAAAACCTTTTAATGTTTTGTGATAATTTTATAAATAATAGTTATTTAATTTAAGGGTCCTTGTATACGTAAATGATGATCAATATTTCTAATTTTGTAACTATTGATGTGGCAAATATTATCTTCTTGGCCCTGTACGACATACTTTTCTTTGAAACGACGATCAATCATACTGTAAATTGCTTATCTGATTGGTAAGATTAAATTTTAAGTATTTATGAGCAACATAAAAAACCCCTGAATACAAAAAATTTTATATGGTTGCCAAACTGGTTGTGTAAAAATAAATATACCTGCGTAAAAAATTAAAATTTATTAGGCGAAACTTATAAATATTGAAACCTAATAAAAACTATATAATTTACTTTATTGAAATTAGGGAAACTTAACTAAAAGTGTTAATTATAAATAAACTTGAAACTAACAAATATTAATTAAAGAATAATCATAAACTTGAAACTAACTAAAGATTTAGTATTTATCCTCCACTTTAAAACAAGTGAGCTTCTCTATAAACAATTCTTGCCACTTGCGCCCAAAATGATGTCCTATTTACATATACCGACATAAAATTTAAATTGTTTCTGTGAATCTCTACCATA